CACATCATATAAAATATCTATCTGTCTATCTGTGGAGACAGATAGATAGATAATCACTTGGACATATTTTTATTTTACTTTAAAAGCAAACTCTCAGACACAAGAAATCCCTTCTTAGAAATCCAACAAACTTAAAACTGAAATGATCTAATTGAGAGCCGGTAAGTTTATGGGCTACACTGTTTATAATTTATGGGAAATCCTACTAGTTAAGTCAGGGTCAAAGAAGTTTCTGAAAATAACATCACTGTATTATGGTTTTAAAATAAAATATAAGTGTTCTGGTAGTTACCAATAAATACCTTTTTAGGAGGATAATTTACATGAAAAAAATGATGACAGACAAACTTTTTGGATGATTTAGCTAAGAGTACTATGCCATTTTAATCATCTCCAAAAAACAACTTTCTAAATAGAAAGAAGAGACTTCTGCTGCCAATGATGATGGAGTAATACAGAACAGATTTATTTTTCCATCTCAAATAACTACAACAGTAAACATAATATATGAAACAATGGTTTTCAGACATTGGGCAATTGGCGACACATGTCTGAGGGGAGTTTTGAGGCCACATTGCAGGGAAGGAGAATGCAAATAGAGCTCAGTGGTCTCCCGGGGTTGAGAAGAAAATGTTGAGAATTCAAGAAAGTCAAAGCAGCTAGAATTTGCAGGGCAGAGTACCAGAGAGAAGAAAAATACAAAGAGGGGGCCTAGAAAGATCCAAAGGGGGTTTCCCAGTTGAAAACTGATCAGTGCAGGTGTGTGAGTATTATATAACAAAAAATTTGTTGATCTTTGTCCCAGGTTCCTGGCAGCTTCTAAGCCCTTAGAATTTCCCCTGTGATAGGAGTGTCTTCGTTATTAATGGTGAGACCCTGGGACCAAGCCTGGGTTTAAACTAATGAACTGACTCATGGTGGGCCCCTAGATAGTTTTAGGATGGAGCTGGCCATGCTGGAAAGATGAACCATGTGACTAGAAAGCTTGGGCTTTAAGCCAGTGACATCAGCCTGACCTCCTTCAAGAAAGACAGGGTGGCTGGAGATTAATTTGAGTCCTGTGGTCAATGGTTCCATCAATCATGCCTACATAATTAAATTCCAATAAAAACTCTTGAGCATCAAAGCTCAGTTGAAAGTCCTGGTTTGTGAACACATTGATGCACTGGGAGGGTGAGATGTCCTGATTCCATGAGCAGGACATGAGAGCTCCATGTTCGGGATCCTCCTAGACCTCACCCTATGGGTCTTTTTCATTTGTCTGGTCCTGATTTGTATCCTTTATAATATAAACCATAATCCTAAATATAGCACTTTCCTGGATTTTATGAGCCATTCTAACAGTTACTGAACACGAGGGGATAGGGAGAACCTTCAAATTTATAGCCAGTTGGTCAGAAATGTGGGTGGCCTAGGAAACTCTGAACCTGCAACTGGTATCTGAATTAAGGACAGTTTGGACAGTTCTCACAGTTCTTGTTGGAGACTGTGACCTTAACCTGTGGAGTCTGTGCTAAGTCTGGATCGTTAGCATCAGAATTACATTAGGCTATTGCGACAAGGAAACCACAAAAAGCTGGGAAAAGAATTACTTATTGGAAAGGAGCAGCCAGAACAATTCTCGGAGCTTATCCCTCAAGCTGGGAATAGCTCACACTTTGAATAGTCAAGAGTTAAGAAACCTCATTACTAAATAGGCTGCTGAGTTGAGTACTCAAAGGGTACTGCCTCAATAGTGGTGCAAGATCAGTCCAGAGGCTCCAGACTAAAGGGTGCTCTTCTCCCACCTAATAAAACTTAAAAAGAAGACCTGAAAAGATCAAACTTTTTCCAAGTAACTTAACCGCATCCCAGAATAAAACTTAAAAATACCTAAAGGAATACAAAAATATCCAGTAACTAACAATGTAAAATTTACGATAATTAGCATCCAATCAAAAAATATTAGGCATAAGAAGCAGGAAAATATGACATACAATGATGAGAAAAACCAATCATTAAGAAATAGACTTAGAAATGACAAAGTATTAGTAGATAAGAACATTAAAAGAACTAATATAAATATATGCTATATGTTAAAGAAGGTAGAAGAAAGCACGGGCATGTTAAAGAGAAAACCAAATCAAACTTCTTCAGATGAAAGAATGTCTGAGATAAAAAAAAAAAACAACAACAGACTGGATGAGATTAACAGCAGATCTGACACTAGAGAAGAAAGATTTCATTACCTTGAAAACATAGCAATAAACACTATCCAAGATGAAAACACAGAGAGAGTAAAGACTGGAAACAAAAAGAGTATTAGTGAGCTGTGGGACAACTTCAAGCAATCTAATACACATGTACTCGGAGTCCCAGAGGGAGACAGAAAACCATGGACAGAAAAAGTATTTGA